TTGTTGGGGTTTGTTTTTTTTTCTTTTTCCAGTTGGATAGCTTTCATGCCTCGTGCAGCACAGAGTACGGTTTCCAAGGCTGCACAGAGGAAGTCAGTAGCAAAACTCCTGTTGACTTAAGTGGAGGAGGGTTTGGGCTGTTTTGCTGCACAGGAAATGGGGCATTTTTCTGTCCAGTAGTTAAGTGTATTTTCCCTTTACAAAGGTCTGTCCACATTTTGCAATAGGGAAATAGGAAATTGTCTTTTCTGTCATTTGGGAGGAAGTTGCTCTCTGTTCTCTTAATTTGTTTGAAAGATGAAAGCAAGTGCCCAGGGGTCAGGGAATTCCAGGAGGTTTGGTATTTTTGAACCAAAGAACCTCTAAGAAATGACACATAATGAATTCTGATTTATCTAAACCCTGCTGAATGCTGCCTGCAGAGGCACTTACATGGATGCATAACCTGCTCTCATCTACTTAATTTAGAGCATAAGCTATAGCATCTATCAGGCTATTGCTTCTGCTGACCTGAACATACATATAAAATGTATTTATGGAACCTGGACCATTCCTTTCTGATATCGGATGGTGGCTGAGACTTTGGGCTTTATTTTCCTGTGGTTTCCGTAATTACCACCTAGGAGAGAATCCTCCCGAATTAAATGGTCTTGTAAAATAGGGATATAAAGGAATATATGGATAGGATTATAAAACCTGCTTTCGATATCAGAGAGGTAGCACAGCAAAGAGGTAACAGTGCAGTGAGGCCATGAGATGGATGTTCAGGGCGTCAACCTTTCCTACAGCCATGCCAGCTGGTCTTGTCAAAGTAGTCCCACAAAACTCCACTCTTCCCTATTCTTCTTAGAATACCTGTCATTGCTAGGTCTTGGGTCCTCAAGCTATCACATTTTCTGCAAGTGGCTTGGTGGCATGCAAGCGGCTTGAAAGTAGTAGTCAAAACTCCAAAACAACCCTATACCTCCTCATCCTCCTCCATCCAGGAGGATGCAGACCCGAGCAGGGTTGTTCAGGTTCCTCGTACTGTCCTTGGGGGTGCTGGTTGTTGCCTTTTCCTTTTCTCTGTCTCTTTCCAATGTGTGTTACTCCATTTAAAAGCATCTTTTTATGTTTCTATTATGGGAGGTCTAATTGCACTTTTGTAAGTGAATAAATGATTAATTCTGGTTTGGTTTTTTTTTTTAAAGCTAAAATGCCAGACCAATCCAGCCAAAAAAACTTCTGAAATTCACTCTGTGTGGCTCAGCATCTTTAAGATCCATTTTTCTTCAGCATCTTTCATTTCTCTCATGTGTTTGCTGTTAAAGCCTTTATTTTTAGTGCTTGTCAGTCCTTTCAGTCAGTAAAATCTTATTTTTACGACATGCTCTGCATGTGCCCATAGCTTCTGTAGAACATTTCACAGTGGGCTGGAGACCGCTTCGGGGCTCAGGTATTATTTGTTGTGGTAAATATAACCCCTGGCCTCTCACCCCAAAGGCCATGTTCTTGTCCGATAACAACAAACCTGGGCACGTCCACCCTTGCCGAGCGCGTGGTCTGTAAATCTGAAGCGCCGTCATCTCCATGCTTGGCTCTGCACGTTTGCTCTGCGCTGTTTCTGCTGATGGACTTCCAGCCTGTCTCTGTCCTGCCTTGGCTTCCCTTTGCTTGATGCTCATGGAATATTCTGGCTCTCGGCCCTGGTTTTCTTTTCAATTTCTTGCCTTTTGTGCAGTGTTGTCTGGTTTCCTTCTCCCCATAATTATGTCGTGACTCTCCTGTTTCCTGCCGCAGTTCTTGCTCTGAGTGTGATAAACCTGAATGCAGCTCTGCCATATTTCATTATCTTCACTTCTGCCAGTATCTAAATGGCCACATGCATTAACTCAAAGATAAGCCCTCCAGTGTGCCATTTTCCTGTTTTATTTAAAGTAGCACCTGCTACCATACCTGCAGACATAGCTATTTAATAGTGCTTCTTTGGCTCTTTTCTCTGTGATTTTATATATTATATATATATTTTATATATAAAAATATATATATAAATTTATATATATATAA